CACCGTTACGGAAGCCTTGAGAACCGCGACCTTGGCCCCTATGCTCTTCTGAGGTCAATGCAAATCCGCGGAGGAGAAAAACGAGTGGGGAAGTCTTGAAAAGCCAGGCACCGAGGGGCTCCGACGCCAGCGGCTGGTGCCTGCGGGCAAAAGGCGCCAGCCCACAGCGCCCCTGACCCCCGTTGCAAGACAGGCCTCTCCAAGAAGGTGCCCCCCCCCCAGGCTGCATCTCCAGGCGGGGGCTTCGGACAGGGTCTACCACCCCAAGATCATCTCAGCCCCGCTTTCTCCCCCTCCCTGCCCTCCTCCCTGAGCAGCCGCAGCCAGCGCCTTGCCGCCATGCGGGGCTTTTGGAGCACCTTGAGAGGGCGCACTGGGGCCGACGGCTGGCCAGGGGGCGCACGGGCACCCTCAGAGCGCTCCGTGGCGCTCGCTCTCCTGCCCAAGTACAGAAGGGGCCGCTCCTCTCCTGAGCAGAGTGCCGCTGGCCATCGGGAGAAACTCCCCCCGCCCCCAGGCCAGGCGACCAGGCGGATGCGGCCTCCGTCGGGCCGAGTGAGCAGCCACCGGTCGGGGTGCTTCACGCCGGGCCCCACACCGAGCAGTGGCCGGACTGGCAACCCCAGCGGCCCCCTGTGGCTCCACAAGAAGCAGAAGCGGGTGGGGGCAAAGCCCCAGTTCGCACGATGCCGAGCACTTGCTCCGGTCGCCTATTTTGCACGGGCCGAGAATGTGGCTTTCCCTGCTCCAGACGCTGCCTTTGAGAAGCAAACTCACGGCCAAGCAGCTGCCCATGGAAACTGTCTACCCATGCTCCCCAGCAGCTGGTGCAGAGGCACCCTGGCTCTTGCACCGGGGGCAGCGTGTGGCCATCGGGACTCGCCGCCGCCGCCTCCACGAGTGTGTCCAGCCCTCTCCAAGGCTGCCGGGACTGGGGTCCGGCACCGTGTCCTGCGGCCGCAAGCCTGCCTGGCTTCCAAGGGTGCAGGCTGGTCTTTGCGTATTGGACGAGGTGAGCTGCTGCTCTTGCTTCAAAAGAGGAAGGTGGGTGAAACCCAAGGCAAGACCTGCCTCGACAGTGGCGTGTTGCCCATTTTCACACACTGAACCAGAAGGAATGAAGACGGCAGGCCGGAGAAACCAGTCAGAGGGCACCTCGGTCCTCGCCCGTGTGCTCTGCTGAGCCTGTGCAGAGCACCTCTGTGCGCAGTCAGGTCACTTCCTTCTGCATCGCTTCCAAAACACGGGAAGTGCCGGTGCCCCTGTGCTCAGCACTAGTCTGACCTCACCTGCAGTCCCGGGTCCAGTTCTGGGCACCTGAGATGCAGAAAAGCTGGAGAGGGTGCAGAGGAAGATGCAGGCACTGGAGGGGAAAGACTGGGAGAACCGGGCATGTTCATCTCAGGAAGAGAAGACCGAGGGGAGACGGGACAGCCCTCTGCAGGTAGCTCAAGGGCTGCCACAGAGGGGAAGGAGCAGGTCTCTTCTCATCCGTTCCGGATTTAGACTAGATGCCAGGAAGAACTTCCTGGCTGTCAGAGCAGTATGATTAATTGTTAATATTATTGAATTTTATCTGGCCAGGGCGGCTTATTTTATATTGTATGTTTGTATTTTATTCTAATGTTTATATTTTTAATTTATGATTATTATTATTTAATTTATTGTTGTAAGCCGCCCCCAGGCTTCGGCGAATGGGGCGGCATAAGAATGTTTTAATAAATAATAAATAAATACATATGAAGTTGGAACCTCTTGCCTGGGGAGGTGGTGGGCTCTGCCCCACCGGGGACATTCACAGGGCATCTGGACAGCCCTGAGTGGGAGGGTGTAACGTGGTGTCCTGCAACAGCAGGAGGCTGGACCCAAGGGCCTTCTGGCCCCTCCCAACTCTACTGTTCTGTGATTCTATGAAAAGAAAGTACAAAGAACGATCTTAAGACTTGCGGACGACACAAAACTGGCTGGGATAGCTAATGCTCTGGAAGCCAGAAGCAAGATCCAAGGTACGCTGGATAGGCTGGAGCACTGGACCAAAAAGAGCAGGATGAAATTCAAAAGGGACAAATGCAGCCGTGCATTTGGGTTCTTTTTCCTGGCCGCAGAACAAGGAAAAATAGGACCTGCACCTGGAAAAAAAACCCCAGATGCCTCGTTACAAGATGGAGAACACTTGGCTCAATGATCCTGCAAGTGAGAAGATCTTGGAATAGTTGCAGGTAACAAGCTGAGCATGAGCCCACAATGTGATGCGGCCGCAGAAAGGGCCAATGCTGTTTCAGGCTGCATTAACAGAAGCGTCTCTGCCAAATCACATGCAGTGCCAGTTCCCCTTTCCTCAGCACTGCTTAGGCCTCACCTGCAGTCCGGTGTCCAGTTCTGGGCACCGCAGTTTAAGAAGGATGCAGGCAAGCTGGAAAAGCGTTCAAAGAACTGGGCATGTTTCGCCTCGAGACGAGAAGGTGGAGCAGGGATGCGCTAGCACGCCACAAGGACTTGAAAGGCTGCCAGAGAGGAAGCCCAGGGCCTCTTCTCGATCATCCCGGAGTGCAGGACACGCAAGAACCGGCTCAGGTTCCAGGGAGCCAGATTCTGGCTAGACAGCAGAAACATTTTCCTGTTGGAGAGTGCAGGAATGGAACCCATGGCCTAGGGAGGCTGCGGGTTCTCCCACATTGGAGGCATTCAGGAGGCAGCCGGACAGCCCTCAGAGGGAAGCTTGACCTGGGAATCCTGCACGGAGCAGGGGCTGGACCCCACGGCCCTCCGGCCCCTTGCAAGTCGACGGGTCTACGGAAGGCTGCCAAGGTTTAACTCTGCCCAGCTTCAGTCCAAGGGCTGGCAGGAGTCGTGCCATTTTGCTGCAACGGACCGACGGCCTCCCTGGCCACGTCCCTGCGAGCCGCGGGACGCTGGCCCTTTTGCGCTGGGCGCGAGAACGACCGTGTGCTCAGCCGATCGCACAGATGTTTTCTGCTGGCTGCAGTGACTTCTTACCCTCATCAACTAACACGTTTGAGGGGGCAAGAGACTCGGTGCAGCCAGCGTCAGAGGGGCCTCTCTGCAGTCTTGTACCCTGGCAGGGGTGAATTACCTGGAAAATAAGAACGCTGCCCCCTGCTGGGTGAAACCAGCCGCTCAATCCTGTGCAGTTGCAGGGTCTGTGATTATTTGCACGTTGCCGGAAGCACCCCTGAGGCCGATCCACAAGCGCCTTACAAGAGGGGAAGCGGGGCGGGCCATTCCACCTGCCCTCCGGAAAGCCCCCGTGCTTCTTCCCGACTGCCGTCCCTGCGCCTTTTTCTGGCCAGGTTGTGTCTTGTCAGATGGCAAGGCTACACGGTGGGACCATCTGGCTGGGACTGATTGCACCGAGGCTGGTCCTGGAAACTTTCTGCCTGAGCAGCAGCATGAAAATGCTTTAAATAAGTAAAACAGTAAAGAAATATCCAGAAGAAGACTCTGCCACCTCATAGGAGGTGCCATTTCCCATGGAAAACCCCCTCAGCTTCGTTTCCTGAGCGGCTGGACTATTCACGGGCACCTGTAACATCATTCTGCTTGCTGCCAGGGCCACCTCCGCCGCAAACTCCAGGCCATGCAGGTTGCGTTTTCAACCTCCTAAAGCACATGCGCTGGGGTACCGAGCCCGGGGTGGGCGCGGGCCAGCCGTTTCCATACGGCGCATGCACTGCAGCTTTTCCGGCAGAAATTCCAGTGCCCCAGGATGGGGCGAGACACCCTCTTTGCTCCATTTCTTTATTAAGCACAGTGTCCCAGGCCTGCTGAAGCCTCAGCCGGGCCCAGGGCCATAAATACACAGTGTGGTGCTGCACGTAGAAAGAGGCTTTTTGAAAAAGTTGCTGCCCGAGTCAGGAAATCTGCTTTGCTACTCCCCCCGCCCCCCACAGCAGATATGCCAGAAAGCCCCAGGCCCGGGGACACCCAGCCCGGCTGCGTCGAAGCCAGCCTTGCGACAGCCGGGGCAGCTCCGCACCCCTGGCGGTGGCCCTTCCTCCTACAGTGAGGGACAGGCTTGCACACGAAACAATCCTAAGGAGCTAATATTACATCTTCTGTGCGGACCCCGGGAGAGGCCTCTGCCCCCAGCCCTCTCTAGCCCACCCGAGGCGCACATGGAGTGCACCTGTTCTGCATGTGCCGACGTGCCTGCACCCAAAATATCCCCCTCGCAGCCGAAAGCAGACAACCAAAGACATGTCCTGCTCCAGACCCGGATCGGAACTGCATCAGTTCGTGCCGATCAGCCATGACAGTCCAGGGAGCCGGCACACTGCAGAGGCACCAGAACCTCAGGGAGAAGAGGCTGCTTCCATGTCCAGCTCCAGGGCTTCCCCGGGGCACCTGGCTAGCAGGTTAAGCAGGTGATCCAATGCTGAGCGACAGGACTACCCCTTGACGGATTCGTCCATCTGCTCACGCAAAGGCCTCAAGCCCCTCGCTGCAGGGAGCCTCCCACCGCCGTGTTACTGGCTCTTCCCAGGGCTTCTCCTCCACCTCCACCTCTGGACAGGAGAAGCGGGGACCCAGCCCGGCCATCTAGCCTAGCTCACTGCCCTGAGCAATGGGGACGTGACGATTTCGGTCCCGTGAGCACGAGGAGGATGCAGGGATATGGGATGCCATGCGCAGCTCTCCAAAGCTTGGGGAGCCGAGGGCTAAGCCACTCACAGAGCTCCCACGCAAAGCCCACAGTGGGGTGGGCCTCTGCCCACTGTACGCACCCTCCCACCCAGCTGGGGTCCAGCCAGGGGCTCCCTCCGTGTGGGCAGAGACACCTTCTTACTGCGCAAGCCGTACGAAGAGCAAGGAGCAGCCTGCAGCCTGGGAGGGTCGCTTCCCTTGGCACTCTGCACATGGCCGCGTCGCTGGCGAAGATGGCAGGGCACCCCACACGGATGCCGATCGAGAGCGACCCCCCCACCCCACCCCACCCCACCCCACCCCACCCCACCCCACCCCCCAGGGTCCAAGTCCGTTTTCCAGGGGAAGCCGCGGCCGCTGTCAGGGAGCAGGGCAGGTACAACTTGGAGGCTGGAACGGGGATGAGCGGAGAGGGACCGGTGGGGGGGGGGGGGGTGGGCCCCAGGGCCGGGTGGCGTCTACGTTCTAGTGGCGGTTCGGGGAGGACCGAGGAGGGCTGGCTTCGGAGCACGTGGGGTTGGCTCGGGCTCGAGCGTCACTCACGGTAGAAAACATATTCCGTGTAAGAGGTCCAGATCTTGTCTGCCTGCTCGTGGGCGAAGGCGCAGGTGCCGGTGGAGCTGCAGGCCACCATGTGGAACCCCGAGTGGGCCAGTCTGTCGAAGGCTTGCTCCAGGAAGGTGAACTTGAGGTAGTACCGGGAGGTGTAGCGCTCGGGTGGCCGGTCAGGGTCCCTGCTCTCGTTCAGGGTCTCCCCGAAGACTTCCTTGGCCAGACAGGTCTTGCCGCACACCATGATTCGGGCCACGCGGCGGAACCTGGCGTCAGTTTGGCTGTCTCTGCCCAGCGTGTAGGAGCCCCGGTAGCCGATGGTGATGAAGCCGGACCGCCGGGTGTCTTGCCCGGCGCTGGAGCCCCCGGGGATGCCCGCCAAGGCGGCAGCAGCCATGGCCAGGTTGCGGCTGCCGTCCGTGCCCGGCGAGAGCTCCTCTGGGTCGCTCTGGCACGGCTCATCCCCAAAGGAGTTCTGCTTGCTGAGCTTCGGGGCCAGGCTCTTGGCCAGTTCAGGCAGACGGAAGTACTCCGCCTCCCGCTGCAGGCGGCCCCGCTCCGGGAAGTGCTCTGGCAGCACGAGCTGCTGGTCGCGCATGTAGTCCAGGATGTAGCGGAAGAGGAAGCCGTCGCGGTCCACGAAGAACCGGCCCTTGCTGTCCCGCGCCAGGGCCTTGGCGCTCCTCTGCGCGAACATCTCCCAGAGCAGCGAGCCGGCGACACTGACCAGGGTGCTGCGGCGGGTGATGTAGACCTGCCCGCCCACGTTCAGCTCCACGATCTCGGGGAAGGCCGAGTCCTCGCCAGGCCTGGCGCAGCCGGCGCTGTCGGCCAGGGCCATGTCTAGCCCCCTGCTCCAGTCACCTGCGGAAGAAGCAAGCACAGCGGCGTCAGGCTCGGCCGAGACCGCAGGCCACCCGGCAAAGGGCACAGGGCACGTCCACGCTGGGACATGAGCACGGTCCTCCCTCAGCCGGCCATCCCAGTCCCCAGTTAAGGGAACTGCAGCCCTGTGGCTGCCGTCACCTCCGTTCCCCAGACTGGCTGCCTCTCCCACCTGCACATCCTTCCGGAGCAGGAATTTGCCCTCTCCAACAGCCAGAGCTCGGGAATGACCCCGTCTACTCCAGGGGGTGGGAAGGAGGGAACTGGGCCTTCCTGGGAAAAAGTCGAGGGAGGGAGCTGAAACGGAAGTGGGGAAGCAAGGCCCTCCGAGGATAATCTAGCGTGTCAGTGGAAATGCTCCACGGCAAGGGCGGCCTTCGAGTTCCAATAATGCTTGCTTTATTTCTCCCGCCAGCCCCTCTGAGGGGAAAAAGACCGCTCTGCACAGGCAGCCACTGCCTTCTGCAGTGCCCACGGGCTCAAGGTTTCATCTAATTGATGTCAGTGGGTCTGCTCCAAGGTATTAGGTCCAGGCCCAGCCTCTAAATGTGGGCGGCATGAGGAGAGGTGCCTGGGCTTCTCCCCAACAGACAGGTAGGGAAGGAGCTTGGTGTCGCTCCCGCACGTTCCCGCGACTGCAGCCGGTGATGTCAGAGCAGGATCTGCAGCGGCCGCTGCAGCGAAAGCCTCTCCGGCTTCGCGGCCCTCGCCCTCTGGCCGTGCCGGCGGGGGCGGCGCACCTTCGCTCCAGGCCACCTCCCTCGCCCTCCTGCCTACACTGCTCCTTGCCCTCTCTCGCAAGCGGCACAGGTTCCCCAGCCTGGCCCCGCCGACATCTTCTCGGCACGACGGAACAACGCTGCCGCCACGTCCCTCCCACGGAACGCCACCGGCACCTGCGGCCATGGCGTGCCCGGGTTTGCCCAGGTCAGCGGCGCTCCAGGCTTCGCCCAGAAGGTGGGGGCGCTGGGAGGGGGTCGGTGCCCGCGGTGCAGCAGTGGGGCAGCATGAGGACTTTCGGGGAGGAGCGAGGCCCGAGTGCCTCGCGTGGGGCTGGTCTGTCGGCTGCGAAAGGGGTGGCTCCTCCTGGGCACCAGGGAAGGCCAACTCCCCGCCTTGTGCAAATACCGACCCGCGTGACTTCCCCTCCCTCCAAAAGATGGATTCCTTGGCAGGCAGCTGAACCCAACGCAACACCTAGCAGAGCTAATCCACGTGGCCTGAGCCTTCTGCTCGTCCCCGTCTTCTCCTCCATCAAACCTCTGTCCACGCCGGCCTCTTGCTTTCAGGACCACCAGCCTTTGCACTCCTTGTGCAGCCCCCCCTCACCTAAACCTCTTGCCCACTGGAGCCGCCCAGGCAGCTCCAAAGGTTTCTCAGAATCTTGCGCATTTGCGGGGTGGTTCCAGGAATCAGAGGGCCTGGAGTTTCGGGGCGCTGCCTCGGGACCTTGTCTGATGCACTTCAAACAGGGCTTTGGCAGTTTCCAGGCAGGTGGGCGGGGAGAGTCTTGGGCAAGTGGGAGGAATGTCTGGAGGAGAGAAAGCAGTGGGCTGGCACACGGCTAACGGGTCTGCTGCCCGGTCCCCCTGCCGCCCATGACTTCTGAGCACTCGTGTGCTGCATTGCGCACAATCCCCACGGGCATGAGGTGGGCTTCTGAATGCATCAGCCAAAAAGTTGCTGATGCATCAGTTGTTTGTATAAGGTGGGAATAGCCAAAGTTTATTGCACTCGCTGAAGGCCGTGACAAATACCTCAACTATAGGAACATAAAAACAATATGCCAGCATTTCAAACAACATGAAATAGAAACACATTAAGTCCATGCAGTTTATGGCAATTTTGTTATGCACTGGTCGTGGCTTTCGGCCGGTACAACAAATGTTGCTTATGCCCAGTTTATGGGCTTGTGCTATTTCCAGCTCTTTCAGATGCTGCAGTTCTGAAACATGAAAGTCACCCTGACCTGCTAGTACAGGAGGGGAGCCCAGCAGAGGTAACTTGCCAGTGGGTTGCCATGTCGGTCGAATCCTGGCAGCTTCCTGTGAAGCGGGGGGGGGGGGTTCTTTCGGCAGCAAGTCAGCCGGACAATCCTTGACTAGTTCCAGGGGTTGTTCAATCCACAGGGCTGGCCTGCTGTCTGGACCCAGGACAGCAACTTCACTGCAGCTGGTAGGCAGGTGTAAGTCCCGGCTGCTCTGCCGCTCCATTTGCACCATCCTATGCTGCCCCCTTTCAGGGTTTTTTCTTTAAAACACGGGGAATATTTATACAATTTTTAGGCTGCTCTGTCACTGCTGATTCAAATGTTTCCCATTTATTTCCCAGCCTTTAAATTGGCACAAATTTCCCCTCCATTTATTTCTCAGTCATTAAATCTTCACATACTTCTAGGTTGTTGATTTACAATTGCTGAGGGACCACAATAAGTGCTGCAGTAAGTCCTCCGAAACAGCTCCCCCCCTCAAAAAAAGCAGTGGAATGCAGGAGCCCGAGAGTTCGCATGCCTCCTTTCCAGAGTTCCTGGGGTCTGGGGCAAAGCGTTAAAAAGACGGAGGACGCTGAGCACTATTGCATGCAATGCCCAAGAGCCATAGGATCACACTGTCAAGGGGGACATCTTGACACCCCCCCCCCGCACACGCCTGGCGCACCTCCATTTGCTGCCCCCGCCTCCCCCCACCCCCCGCGTACTGGCACTTGTCCACTGACTCAGCCCCTGGCACCAGCACCACCTGCTCCTCGAGAGCTGGCACCGCGCAAGGAAACTGACTGGGAAAGACCACATCCTCTCCCACCGCCAAGGAGCTTCATACCAAGCGACTTCTCAAGCTGGCGGCGAAGCAAACGGCAAGGTGTTTCTGGACATGGCTGCCCCAGTCAAACAGAAAGGACTCATTTTTATGCTCTGAACACAGAACTCCCCAACCCCCCCTGTTAGTTGTGCTCCTTTGCGCTCTGGCCGTGGCTTTGCATGAGGAAGGGGAGTTCCGTCCCTGGCAACATCTCCAGGTAAGACCCGGGGGGGGGGATGCTCCTGCCGGAACCCCTGTGGGAAAGCTGCTACTGCCAGTTGGTGCCAATCATCCTGGCCTGGATGGATGGGGGAGGGCTTAAATTGGCAGGTGATTCCAGGTGTTCAGAAGTACTTTCTCCCCGGCCTGGGGAGAACCAGGCAACGGAGCCAACGACCTCCCGCAGGCTTCCCCACCCTGGCAGCATTCAAGAGGCAGCTGGACAGGGGCGCTTTAACTGGAGTATTGTGCTGAGCAGGCGCTGGACTCGATGGCCACATGAGCCCCTTCCAACTCTACTATTCTGTGATAAGCATGTTGGAGCCGAGCTGGGCCCAAGCGCTTCAGGTATGGAAGCACAGCAAAGCGAAAGTTTGCATGAGATTCTTTTCAGGTAAAACGGAGAACCAGGAGGCTCAGCAGATAAATGGGTGCCTTTGCCTTCGAAGTGAGTGCCGGGAGAAGCTTCTAAATCAATGCCAGGCACTGGAGTCCTTGGATCGCACAAAAGAGCTGAATACCCACAGGTGGCCCAGAGCGACACCAGGCAATGAAATGGCACCAGGGTGAAATGTGGGAAAGGCATTTGCGAGAAAACAGGGCACGCCTGCACAACGTGGGAGGCGTTTCTCCAGGATGAGTGTGCCTTGCTTGCCCTCTGGAGTCAAGCCACGGCCGGCCCAAGCCTCACCCTGTCAGAGGAACACGCTTTGGAAGGGGCTGCTTTGCTCCCAGATGCCGCTCTGGGAACTGCAACGCTCTCCCTCCTGACTTTCTCCCAGCTGCTTTGGGGCGATCCTTACAGTGCGTGAGAGGATGGGAGGAAGGAAAGATGGCCAACCTTATCCCCAGTATGGGTGCTCCTTTCCCGGAGGCCGGGTCTGGTGCCCAGGCCGATTTCGCCAGCGCCACGCTTTGTCCCTGCTCCAGCAGCCGCACTGGCCAGGAACCCGTGGGGAACTGCTCTGCCGGGAAGAACCCTGGCAGGGGCACCACTGGCCGCAGCTGCTGCAGGGGGTGCCCACCCAGGATGAGTGCGCCACGTGCACGGCAGCTGGCGCACGTGCGGCGCGCATCCACACGGGGCTTTCTTCAAGCTAATTCCTTCCAACGCCCGCCGAGTGATTTCGCAAAGGGCCATCCGCTTCTAAGCTATACGGTTCCTGCAGAGAACACGTCTGCACGTGAGAATGACAGTCCACGTGGCTAACCTGTTCCGTGCATGGACGTCAGAGAGAGAGAGGAGGCGGCGGCGGGGCCGATCCACCTAGAAATGGGCATCCCGCGCGGGCTCCGTCCGGTCGAGGGCGCGCGCCTCCGGAGCCTCAGCGAGCCCGGTCCGGTCCGGTCCTCCTGCGCCCCTCCACCCAGGGATTGCCCCGAGGCACCCGGCCGCCCCCTTCCGGCGCGGCAACGGCGAATTGCCCAGCCCCGACGCCGGGCCGGGCCGGGCCGGCACGACCCGCGCTCGCCCCCGCGCGCGCACTGCGCCAAGCGGCCCCGCGCCGGCTCCCACCTCTCAGGCGGCTCCTCTCCTCTCCTCTCCGAAGCGAGCGGCGAGAGGGCGGCGGGGCTGGGCGCCCGCGGAGGAGCCGCTCGCCTACGAAGCGCCGCCGCCGCGCCCGGAAAGCGCGGGCCGGTCCCTCCGCGCCGGGCGCATCCAGGCTGCGCCGCGCAGGCCCCGCGCTCGCCAAGGGCACTGCGCCGGCCGCCTCCGGGCGCGGTCGCGGGCGGGCGGGCGGGCGAGCGCTCCGGCGA